CTGCGACTTGTTCCTCAGAACGCTTCGTGTGAACTGTTCGTGGGACAAGTCCCTGCGACCAATCCCTGTAACAAGTCGCGGGGACAAGTCTCATCGTGTGAACTACCCATTTTTGCCTCAAAATCTAGTCCCTAAGTCGCAGGGACTAATATTGGTCCCTGCGACTAGTGCCACGGATTCAACCTAGTTTGAATTTTTGGGACAAGTCCCCGCGACTTGCATTGTTCCTCAAAACGCTTCGTGTGAACTGTTCGCGGGACAAGTCCCTGCGACCAGTCCCTTCGTGTAAACTCTTCAGGGGACTAGTTGCAGTGACTAGTCCCCTCGTGTGTGCCGACCTTAATCGCCAGTTAAATTTAAGTTGAATTTCAGTTCAGCCGGGTAGGTACATCAAATGATATTAAGAGCTCGTTATAACATTTTGAAATTCCTCAACAAATGCAAATGAATCTTGCGTAATATATTTGTCGCATGGGAATGCATGGGCTAAGAACAGAAACTAGATACTTGGCCGGCCTATACTTACGAGCAAATATAATTAAAGAAGCACTAGATCTAAAGGTGGAGGAGAATTTGCTCCCGTTGCTTGCGTAACTTAGAAAGACCGTAAAATGTGGCATAATAAACATTTCTCACAGTGTATTATGGATTTCAGTTTACGATATGTTCTTTGCCGTTGGTTAAGTTGTTGCATCAATCGATATAATGATTTTTCTTCAACCGAAATTTAGCTTTAGTACACCAAATTTCGGTAAAGCACCAATTGAAAACATGGCTGCAACAGAAATGTCCAGTCACGCGGCAAAAAAATTGACACACCAATATCGTGTCTGATAATTTTGAAGAAAATTGTCACAATTTGAGGACTATGGTTTGAATGCTGTTGGAACAAGAAAGGATCAAAATCCGGCGTGCTTGTGCGGCCTTCAAGTCTATCAGCCTTGCTTCATTGTTACTCTAACTTTCAAGGGTTGCGTTACAGGGTCGATTTTCATTGGTTTTAAAAACAAAGCGCGTTTTCACGAAACGTCATCAAAGAGCCACCAAAGTTTTTTATGTTCTGTTTACAACGTTTCAGCTCAATAACGTGATTTATAGCCATTTAAGAAGTTAAGGTATTGGAAAAGTGCTTATGTAAGTGTTGGTGAATGTTTGTTTGTTCAATACCGTTAATCAGTCGCCTTAGATATAAACCATGGGCTCTGTAAATTTGTGCGGACGTATCAACGAATA